GCTGGGTCAAGCAGCCCAGGATATGGTTGGCTTTCTGGGCTGCCAGTGCATATTGTCAGCTCACGTCCATCTTTTCATCCACCAAGTCCTTCTCTTCAGGGCTGCTCTCAATCCCTTCATCCCCCAGTCTGTATTGAAATTGGGGGTTGCTCCCACCCAGGTGCAGGATCTTGCATGTGGCTTTTTTGAACTTAATGAGGTTCACATGGACCCACCTCTCAAGCCTGTCAAGGTCCCTCTGGATGGCACCCTTTCTTTCCAGTGTGTCAACTGCCCCACACAGCTTGGCGGTGTCGGCAAACTTGCTGAGGGTGCACTCAATCCCACTGTCCATGTCACCAACAACATTAAACAGCATTGGTCCCAATATGGTCCCCTGAGGAACATCACTTGCCACAGGTCTCCACTTGGACATCGAGCTGTTGACCACAACTCTTTGAGTGTGGCCATCGAGCCAATTCCTTATCCACCAAGTAGTCCATCCATTAAATGCATGTCTCTCCAATTTAGAAACAAGGATGTTGTGCAGGACAGTGTCAAATGCTTTGCACAAGTCCAGGCAGACAATGTTAGTCACGCTTCCCTTATCTGCCAACACTGTAACACTGTTGTAGAAGGCAACCAAATTTGTCAAGCACATCTTGCCCTTAGTGAAGCCATGTTGACTGTCACCAACCACATCCTCATTTTCCATGTACCTTAACACAGTTTCCAGGGGGATCTGGTCCATGAACTTGCTGGGCACAAAGATGAGACTGACTGGACTTAGTTCCTCTGGTCTTCCTTTTTTTCCTTTTTAAAAATGGGCATTATTTTTCCTCTTTTCAAGTCAGCGGGAACTTCATTGGACTGCCATGACTTCTCAAATATGATAGATAGTGGCTTAGCAACTTCATCTGTCAGTTCCCTCAGGACCCGTGGACATATTTCATCAGGTCCTATAGACTCTTTGTCAGGAAGTGTAGTGACAGGACAAGGGGTAATGTTTTAAATCGGAAGAGGGGAGATTTAGATTAGATATTAGGAAGAAATTATTTCCTGTGAGGGTGGTGAGACACTGGAACAGGTTGCTCAGAGAAGTTGTGGATGCCCCATCCCTGGAAGTGTTCAAGGCCAGGCTGGATGGGGCTTTGAGCAACGTGTTCTAGTGGGAGGTGTCCCTGCCCATGGCAGGGGGGTTGGAACTTGATGATCTTTAAGGTCCCTTCCAGCTCTAACCATTCTATGATTCTATGACTTGTGCACCTTCAGGCTCCTCAGATGGTTTCAAATTTGATATTCTCCTACCATAGGTGGTTCCTCATTCTCCCAGTCCCTGCCTTTGCCTTCTGTGACTTGGCTGGTGTGGCTACGGCACTTGCTGGTGAAGACTGAGGCAAAAAAGTCATTGAGTACCTCAACCCTCTCCATATCCCTGGTGACCAGGTGTCCTGTTTCCTTCCAGAGGGGGCCCACATTTTCCCTAGTCTTCCTTTTATCACTGATTTACTTTTAGAACCTTTTCTTGTTGTACTTGATATTGCCGGACAGATTTAACACTAGCTGGTCTTTAGCTTTTCTAAGCCAATCCCTGGCTGCTCAGACAACTTCTCTGTATTCCTCCCAGGCTACCTGTCCTTGCTTCCACCCTCTGTAGGCTTCCTTTTGCTGTTTGAGTTTCTTCAGGAGCTCCTTGTTCATCCATGCAGGCCTCCTGGCATTTTTGCCTGACTTCCTCTTTGTTGGGATGCATTGCTCCTGAGCTCGAAGGAGGTGATCCTTGAATATTAAGTAGCTTTCTTAGGTCCCTCTTCCCTTCAGGGCTTTATCTCATGGTATTCTGCCAAACAGATCCCTCAAGAGGCCAAAGTCTGCCCTCCTGAACTCCAAGGTAGCGAGCTTGCTGCGTGCCCTTCTCAATGCCCTAAGGATCTTAAGGTCACTGCCCATCATCTCAAGGTCACTGCAGCCAAGGTTGCCCTTGAGCTTCACAGTCTCCACCAGCCCTCTTACCTTTTTGGTTAGGGCAAAGTCCAGCAGGGAACCTCTCCTTATTGGCTCCTCTCTCACTTGGAGAAGGAAGTTATTATGAACACATTCCAGGAACCTCCTGGATTGCTTATTCTCTTCTATGTTCTCCCTCCAACAAATATTGGGGTGGCTGAAGTCCCCTAGGAGAACCAGGGCTTGTGAACATGAGGCTGCTCATGAACAGAGGGCCTCATCCACTCAGTCTTCCTGCCCAGGTGGCCTGTAGCAGATCCCAACTGTAACATCAGCTGTCCATGCCCTCCCTTTAATCCTGACCCATAAGCTCTAAGGCAGCTTCATCCCCAGGCTGAGCTCCATGGACTCCAGCCAGTTATTGACATAAGAGGGTGACACCCCTTCCTTGTGTTCCCTGCCTGTCCTCCCATTCCAACACTCCAGCCACAGGAGCCATCCCACCACTCCTCTGTGATGCCAGTAAGATCAGAGCCCTGCAGGCATGCACATGTCTCTGACTCCTCTTGTTTATTCCCCATGCTACATGCATTTGCACAGAGGCATTTAAGTTGGGCCACCGATGAAGCTGACCTACTGGCTGGAGTGGCTGGAATTTCTTTGTGCTGCACTCCAGATGCTCTCCTGCTGACCTGTGACCCTTCTCCAGGCTCTGGGCATCTATTGCTGGCACTGGCACCATGCTGGTAGGAGTGGGATGGACTGAGATTTCCCTCACCCGCCAACTTTAGTTTAAAGCTCTCTTCACACGCTTGGCAAGTCTCTGACCGCAGATGCTCTTCCCCTTCTCTGACAGATGCACCCCATCAGTCCCCAGCAGACCTTGTCTCTCAAAGTGAGTCCCATGGTCTAAGTAGCCAAACCCCAGGCTGTGGAACCAGTCCTGTAACCATATATGGACAGAGTCCAGTTGGAGGCCAATCACTAGTGGTACACTGCAGAGATCCGTACTGGATCCAGTCCTGTTTGTCATCCTTAACGATTTTGATGACAGAAGAAAATGTGCAACAATTTTATAGATGACACAACACTAGAAGGAGTGCTTGATCTACCAGATGGTTGTGCTGCCACCATTCAGAGGGATCTCAATAGACTGGAGAAATAGGCAAATGGGGATTTCACAATGTTCAATAAACGCGAATGCCAAATCCTGCAGCCAGGGACAAAAAGCCCTTGGTCCAGAAGAGGCCAGGGTCCAACCTCTTGGAAAGCAGCTATATAGAAAAGGACCCAGCACTCTTGGTAGACACTAAAGTGTCCATAAACCAGCAATGTCCCCTTGCAGCAAAGAGGGCCAACAGCATCCTGGGTTGCATTATGCAGAGTGCTGTCAGCAGGCTGAGGGGGTGATCCTTCCTACGAGGAGAGGCTGAAAGAGCCGGTACTGTTCAGCCTGGAGAAGAAAAGGCTCAGGAGGATCTCACCCATGTGCACAAACATCTGATGGAGCCAGGGAAAGGGACAGTAAAGAACAGTAAGTCAGACTCTTCTCAGTGGTATGCAACGATGGTGCAAGATGCAATGGGTGCAAACTAAATTGCAGAAAACTCAATTTAAGAAAAAAACTTTTACTCTAAGAATGCTCAGACGCTGGGCCACGTTTTCAGGTTGTACAGACACTCAGAGCCCGACTGGACACAAGGCTGAGCAACTTGCTTTACGTGACGGTGTTTTAAGCAGGGAGGTTGGACTATATCTCCAGCACTCCCATCCAGTCTCAGTAATAGTGTACTCAAAGCACAGGAAAAGAAACTCATTTGAGAAAGGCCATTCCAAAAAAACAAGAGATGGTATATAGAAATGATATGAACAATTGTAACATACACAAAAAAGTCACCCTCTTCAAGACAAAAATCAAAACCTGTAATCTTTCTTCAATTTTGTTCCCCAGTTTTTCTGATTTTAGATGGAATAGACACTATTGGTAATGAACATTATAATTTGAAAAATATTAGAAAATTCTCTCTGTTCCTGTAAAGTGACAGTGTCAGGCTGGTCCTTAACTTCAGCCACAACTTCTGGATTCTTCCACCCTGCAGCTATCCACTTAACAGTGGGCCTCTCCCAGCAAAGATGCACTACATCACATGCCCACTCTTCACTATGTATCATTTACAATGCTAGATTCTGATATAGAAACTGACAGCCTATATCTTGTACAGATATTAAAACAGAGAAACATAGTGAATTAATTATAAAATGCATACTAGTCATAGAAATAATACACACAATAGAAAGACTAAATTATTATCTTTAACTTATCTGTACAATATTTTTTTCCTTTTGTCTGAATTTGTGGTCCCAATATCTGTTCTACTTTGAAACAAATTTTTCGTCCGCATGTACATCCTATGGGAGCCTCTAACTCGGCTCTCAGTCGGACGACTGTGCTATGTCTGAAGCACAAACTAGTATTGAGATGAGACAATAACCTAACAAAGCTTCCCCCTTTCACAACAGAGCAGGCATTAGAACCACAAATTCAGATCACAACGTTTTTGAAGAACTACATTGGGTATTTCTAAGTTGAAATGCGATCCACCCTCAGCCTTGTGCTGTGCCTCAAGCCTGTTTTTGTCCAGGAATGCTTCATGCTGGCTAGGGAAACATGAGATTCATGCATAGAAGGCTGATCTTAAAAACCTGCTAGCAGGAGCAACAAAAACTCTAATTAAACTAGTTTCTATTCTCAGCTTTCTGGGACAGATTCAGATACTAGTTGATGGGGTCAGCATATAAATCCTTGAATAGATGACCGCAGCTATAGCTCTTTCTGAACTGCATTTATGGAGAAACTTATGCAAAACTGGAAAGCAAAAGAAGAGGCACAAAATCCTGTTGGTTCCCACAGCACATCAGCTCTTTAAAATGGATGCAGTCTGCTCCATCTAGATATTGATAAAAATAAGCTGGAAGTATCCCTGAGCTAGTCCTCCTTCAGGCAAAATACTCTATATCACGTCTCTTGGAAAAGAAGGAATTATCTCCTTATGTATTAGTGACATCAGAAACAATGCAATGTTAACTGGTCCCAAGGGCTTTTATTTTTCCTTTATCAGCTGTGCAACACTGAATAAAGTATTCCAATCATAAGGCTAAGTATAAACATCAGTAAATATGAAAAAGTAATCCTTTAGATTTAACTGCAACAGTGAAGAGAGAACACAGAGAGCAGTGGAAACTTATTTCTGAAAGACCTTGGTCTAACAGAACTGTACCAAAAATCCAGTTGTAATAAATCCAACAATATCCTTTTCTGTAGATAAAGTCCATGAATGCAGTGCCTGAATGTCAATTCTATACCAGCAGATATCTGAAGTTCAGCCTTCGTCATCACTGCTGCTCCATGCGTCTTCATATGCCGGATTTAAATGCTGTTCAGCTGGAGACTGAAGAAAATAAAAATTCTCTCAGTGGTTGCTTAATTAAAAATATTAAAATCAAATAATGTAAAGACATATCTTAAATTCCTATATGTGACAAACACAGACAAACTACCGTGTCTTTCACGGCTGCTGGATTTTTTTTTTAACCACTTCTTTTGCCGTTTCACTGATTAGGAACAGGATAAATTATAAGAAATACTGCTCTATTTAATTCCAATTTCAACAAGAAGTATCTGGAGCACCGATTGCAAGTTTTACAAATGTCTGGTATAAAATATGACACATAGATGTTACTGTGAGTTTTTTTTGCATCATTGGTATTAAGTCATAATTTCCTTGGCCCAGGATAACCGAGTACTACTGCCTCAAGAAGCAGCCCCAGCCTCTATCCACATCCAACAACTGTTTCTCACCTCAGCCCCTCTCGGGGCAAGCTAAAGGGTTTGTGCAGCTTCACAGTGCACTGAATCCGGGTAAAATCTTTTTCTTTTTCACCTTTACCTTGGGTTCAGATTCTGGTCATACAGGCACTCCAATGGCTGCTCCAGCACATAAGAGGCAGCAGGGGCGAGAGGCCCATGGAGAGCAGAAGTGCTTCTTTCAGAGCCTCTGCTCATCTACAGTATTTGCAGAGGACAGCTGTAGCCTAACAGATTTCAAAACAATGGCACATAGTACATAACTCCACCACGTCAAATTTAAAGAGGCAATTCTAATCAGAGCAGGGTAAATAATCTTGTTGCTGTGGGTTTGTTTTTGTTTTTCAGACTAAGAAAAAACAATTCACACATATCCAAATTCACAGTTACAGCAAAATGTCTGTTTTGAGTCAACTGAACACATTTTGGGTTTAGGGTATCTAACCTTTGAAACTACTTTTTTCTTCTTTTCTTAACTGTAGGATAGTTTTGAAATAAGTTGTCTTAGAAAGCCAAGCAAGTGTTACAAAAATGTGATACTTTTTTAATTTCCCCATCCAAAATGGAGCATTTCAGAAATTTTAAAAAGTGTAATTTTTGTATGCTATTAGACATTCGTACAGTATGCCAGACTTTGATTCTGTGAGTGATTTCAGTTCCCTAAAATCCAGAATTTTTCCCCCTCAAACTGCACACTGAAATTTTTATTGCTCAGCTCTAATACTAAGAGAGAGAAAGTACTCTCTTGGAAAAAAGTGTTACATATAATCTTTCCTGTAACAGCCTGAACATCTTGCCTCAGACACTAAAATAAGCTCATTTAGAAGCTTTATTATATTTCTGTATCAAAAATATTTTGGTATGAAGTGTGGCATTCCTAATCTTACTATTTATAACACACTATATTCTTAAACAATTTAAAATACAATCTTTGGCACCCTTCCAACTCCAAAATAGCATAAACTACAAAAAAACAGTCTGGAAATTAAGGAAGCTAAAGTAGAAGTTGAAAGACTGATAGCTAAATGACTAGTACTACTTTTAATTAAGTGAGAAGCTAGAAGTCTGCAAAAGATTTTACTAGACTATGAAAGAAAATGTCCTCTTGAAACACCACAACAATCAACAGATTGCACAGAAACAGGTGATTCTCCTCTTAATTAGGAATTGTTACGAATTTTGATGGCGAAACACATACTTCACATTGAATTTCCACACCACCTCCACAAGTATAACAGCCATAAAAAGTATTGTTGAAACTCAAATATCCATTACCTTTTCAGAAATGTCATCAGGAACTGGCTCTCGAAGAGCTGGTATCCACGCAAGGATATTGCAATCTTTGCTACCACTATAAAGTTCCTTTAGGAAAACAAGCAAAAATTACTTTTACACAAATTTACTGAACAGTGACATAGATATAGTGTTGGGAAAAAAGGTGTATGAAATATTTATTTAAAGTAAAGACAATAATCCAATTTCTAATTTGTATTATAATCTTGATAACAAAATGAGTAAATTTTTATATTTCTCTCAGATTGCTCACCAAAACAGCACTACCCACATTCAAATGAACTTTATTGCTTAAACGCACTTTTATTCTTCCCTATCTCATGTCTCATGAAAAGAAACTGATGTTGACAGTTAGGAAGCTTAATAGATGATTTACGTTCAACGGAAAAGTAAGGGGGGAAAAAAGGGAAAGATATTTTATTATAATTGAAAAATGTGAATCAACTCAAAAGCATCTAGTAATACATGTTAGAAGAGTTCATACGTATGGAACAAAGAAGTATTAAGTAAACAGAGTTCCAGTATGCGCAGGGAAGGAAAAGAACAAATAAAGAACAATTTGAAGCCTGTATCCTGTTGGGAAGGCAGAGATCAGAAAGATCAATTTATTATTTTTAATATAAATAACTCTATTTATTATGGTAATGACTAAGGACTGAGATCCCATTGTGCAAGGCACCCTGCAAATACATGGAAGCAAACAGTCTCTACACCAAACAGCTAAGAGTCAAATATAGCTTAGTTTTCTTAGCTCTTTATTAAAGAAAATACAGATTTCTCTTGTCACTTTCAACTGAGGAAATTTTGCTAATGAGAAATACTGCACCATCTTTGCAGAAAATTTTGCACTAATAATGCTTCTTTTTACCAAAGTGCTACTTAAATGAACATGCATTAAGACATTCTCACGTCTCTAATCTTGAACCATGCTCCTACATATTATATGCAATGTCTGACAACACTTGAGCTTTGCTGTGTGTTTAAACTGCCTTAATGAAATACAAAGTATTTTTTTTTTTTATTAAGGCTCACAGCAAGAAAGCCTTACTTTAAATATGTTGGCTTTTACACTTAAAGTAGCAACTTTGTGCACATTATTAATACATTAGCTCACTGTAAGCTCTGCCTTTGTAGAAAGTCTCCTATATCATGTATATTTAATTCTATAACTGTGAGATTTACACTGGCAGCTGATGCAGGAACTTAATGAGTAATTCCTATAAATACTCATTTATGTGGGTAATCTTATTCAAGAGAGCTAACATACTTTTGTAAAACTGGTCCCATGCATGAAATCGTTCATGCATAAAACACATCCTACTTATCTTGCTTAAACAAAGACAGGTCAAAGTTACACCAAGGTATAGGACAAATCCCACTTTTTCCTGTCAGCAGTACTCTACTTGTGCCTCCTGTTTTTGACAGGATACAGAATATCACAGAACTTTAAAACTATCTTTAAAACTAAAGTTCTACCAATAGAAGTTTAAAACTTCTTCCCATGCCAAAACGTCTCCTTGTAAGCAATGTCATAGTGACACCAGCACACTTCCATTTATTCTTTATTACCACTTGTCTCACTTTCTGATCCTGGCATTGCAAGATCTTCAGTTAATATCCACTGCATTCAGTAATACTTATAATTAATTATTAAAACCTGAAATGTGACTCATACTTTAAGTCAGTCAAAAGAAGAGCCAGCAAGCCACATGCAGTACAGGACATACACATATATTTTACTACAAATGTGCTCTATGCAGGTTTATGGTATACTATATATAGAAATATTACATTTTAATTTTCTGAGGAAAGCTCGTAAATGAAACCTAATTTATATTTCAGTTTTCTTTACTTATTAGCCTACCACTGGATTTTCCAAATACCTTTGCAAATGTCACTGGCATTTCTTGAACAATACAAGCAGCTTTAAGTTAAAGCAAAATTGTTTCCTGATGCATACCTAGTATTTTATGACATGTTATTCATGCACGGTTCTTTACTCCATTTCTTTTTCTGAAAGGGAAACGTAGGTCTTGTTTGTTTACTTTAATTATTTTAAGCAGCTAATATGGCACAATGGTATCTCGTTTATTAGATCCAACAGTAAACATCATCTAAAAGATTACACAATTAAGACTTCCTCTTCCACACCACCCTTGAAATTACCGCCTCCTATTAAATTAATGGCTCTTATTAAAGGGCCAAATTCTGCAGTTCTTATTACTCAAGCAGACTAACATCTTATTAACTTTACAGAGATATTTACGTAAGAATAATTTAGGCCAACAATAATATAGTGGATTTTATGGCTCTATTCCCAGGATCTCAAAAGGCATATACACACACATTAACTAAATCTTGTACCATGCTGTGGAGACAGCTCCACACAATGTCTCAAACACAAAATATATTCCACACAAATCTGCTAGTTAATTTGGACCTCAAAAGAACAGATAAAGGCTAATATCATTGGATTGCATATAGCTAGTTGCTTGGGTATCAGTGATCATATTTGATTATAAGTTTTGAGCATACAGGAGACACTTCTCACCTCAAATACATAATTGGTGCCAAGTTCTTTTAAAGCATACTCCAGTTATGAGGTGAAACACAGATGATGATCAAAACACAGTTAATGAACAGAAAGAACCTGAAGGACTGGTGTTATAACACCAATTATAACTGTCAATATAAATCAAAAGCTTTGAACACAATAAAAAAATAGTATGGAAGTCTAAGGACCAGATTCGAGGGTGACAAAAATTAGTCATCAGGGTTAAAGACAGCAGAAAAAGTTCAGAACACTATTAATATGAAGAAAACTCTTAACAACTACTCTTAATAACAGAGACTCACAACTAAAACGAAATGGTAGAAACTATACAGAAAAGATGTAAACCTTGTTTCACATGAAGATAGTGTACTAATTTCATATGTGCTACTTCACCAGTAGACATATAATTAGTGTCAGAGACTTAGAAGAGTCGTCTAAGAGAACTTCTGGCTTATGTTAATTATGTTTTAATATGTATTAAAATACTATAAAGCTGAAAGGGACCTAATATGCTATTCAGAAAGAAGAAAGAAAAAGAAAAAAAAAAAAGGAATGATGATACAGATACAAATGAACTACCGGACATTTCTTTTATCCTAAACAAGAGAAAGGAAAAGGTGTTTAAAGGATTCAGTTACTGTAGAGTTAAGATACAGGAATATAAACAGCGTCAGTCAAAACAATTTGTAACAAAGTAGTTACAAACAAAGTTGTTTTTGTCAAGCAGGACTAATTTTATTTACAATTAGTAACTGAAAATAGAGATGCACAGCTGTGAGTAACTTTGTAACATATAGTTAATATTGCTTGCAAGAGTAATACAAAACAGGTAACTACAAATTTTACAAACGACTCCGTTTCTCAGGAAAGGAATGTTAACTTGGAAATGTTGGAATTATATGAAGACTGATGAATGTACTTACTTGTCTCAAAGCAGAATGAGCTATTTGAAAGTACAGGTGTGAACACAAACACTTAAAATAACACCACCACTACCTTTGGTGTTGATGCACTGACTATAGTAATGTTACTCCATTAGAGCGATGATTTAATACAACTAAAAGCAGAGCTTTTAAAGAAAAATAAAATCCAGTCACACTTCTAGAATATAGACCTGAACTCTGGAAAAGGGTGATTCTGCAAGAAAATCAGGAATCACAAAAGATAAACAAATGAAGTTGTTGCCAACATAAACCTATTGCTATAGCGACTGATGCAATTCGTGTGCATGCTCATACAACTGATCCTATTCGAAACATCTTAAAAGCCAAGACAAAAACACTGTAAGGAGATTTGCATTTCCAGGGCTGGAAAACATGATTTACGGTGAGATTTATTGAGCCTCACCCCTTCTACTTATCAAAAAGGATATAAAAGATGACTTAATATAAACACATTACCACTTCTGCTGGGAAAATATTCTTAAAAACACAAAGGGCTTTTTAAGCTAGTCAAGAACCGTCCAGAAAAAGATGTGCCTTAGCTATAATGTGAACATACCACTTTTCAGTGGATCTACTATCTCACTGCCTATTCATGCCAGAACTGCTTTCCAGCTCTACTGCTCCATCGATAATGCATCCAAAACTTTCAGCGAAGTCCGCCTTAGTGATGGGGAAACATAATTTTGGACTCAAAGCAAGAGCTACAAGATTCACTTCTATGATATACTGTATGAGACGTCATGAAACGATGCCCACGTGGTCTTTCTGCCTCAAGTATTTCTGCCTGATATTTCAGAAACAAAACCTAAGAAAGGAGAAGTTGGAATATGACGTACAATCCTCAGCACCTAAGGACAACTATGTAACGCCCTTAAAATCCATAGTAAGATCCACTCTGCTTTTGCCACACCACAAGCCATAAGAATGCTATGTTGTAAAGCTCCTCATAACAAATTAAGCTTTGTTATCCTTTAGTCTTTTATTACGAGAGAAAAATATACCATAGACATAGAGGAAGAGAAAAGCAGGCTGTCAGCACCATGAGTCCCTGTAACGTTGCAGCATTCCTTAGGTGAAATGTTCTCAGATTAAGAAGCTCATTACGCTCAATGATCCAAACTGCTCGTAGATACAGTAATTGGTATAACTACAGGCATTTGAGCAAGATCACCGCAGCACAGCTCTTGAGAGGCTTCTCAGTACTGATAGCAAAACCAACACACTGCATTGAAATGCACGTCACATTCTGTCTTAGTGTGATTAGTCAAGTATCTCAGAGAAAGACAAATGACTCCTCTTCAGTCTTACAGAAAACGAGGAAAAGCTCTAATGCATACAATTTAATAATGACAATATAAGCCAAAAAATTCCTATAGTTGCATCAAAAAGTTTCCTGAGTGAGATGAAATGAATAGTGGAAGGAACCCAATATATAAAGAGCTGTCCCCAGAATGTGACCAAACCTTTCTCTCTTGACACATAGCCCACAGAACTCCCCTCTTATGTCAAGATCTTTGAATAAAGCACATCCCTGAAAAGTTAGCACTTTTTGTGCAAATGCTTTGGTAATCTGCATAAATATTACAGGTTGTCTGCAATATTGTTTGTACTTTACTTACCTGAAAATTAGGTTGAAGTACACAGCAGTTGACAGTACTATAATGCCCCTTAAGCGTTGTTATCAGCTCTCCTGTGAAAATTGTATAAACTGCAATGGTACTACCATATGGTACAAAGGCAAACTCTGGATTGCAGCCACAAGAGACAGTGAATTTGAGTCCTTTTCTACTTTCATTACAGACTTTCCCATAATTCACCTGTAAAATGAAGTAGTATGCAGTTAGCTATTAAGTAAAACTACAGGAAATAACTTTACATTAAAAGGTCAGTTTCATTTCTTCTTTAATACCTAATACAATTAACTTTAAGCTCTCCAATGTTAACACAGCTCTTGAGATTTCCAATTACAGATGCATACCAAGAGAATAATTTTTCATTGAAGTTCACTCTCCCTAATATCAGCTTCAAGAAAGTGAAAGAAAGATATGCCCACAAATCAGCAGTTCCAGACTTAGAATTTGCACAAGCTGTTGATCTACACTGAGTACCTAAACTATCACTGAAATTTTAACTGATTGGGGGATTACCACCTTAAACATTTTCCTAGATAATCCAACATAATAATTTTCTCTCAGATACTGAATCTATTAAAAGAATTCCTTATGCACAATAGTATACAATTACAAATCATATAATCATAGAATAGTTTGGGCTGGAAGGGACCTTTAAAGGTCATCTAGTCCAACCCCCTGCAGTAAGCAGGGACATCTTCAACTAGATGAGGTTGCTCAAAGCCCTGTCCAACCTGGCCTTGATTGTTTCCAGGGATGGGGCATCTACCACCTCTCTGGGCAACCTGTTCCAGTGCTTCACCACTTTCAGCATCAAAAATTTCTTCCTTACATCTAGTCTGAATCTATCCTCTCTTAGTTCAAAACCATTACCCCTTGTCCTATTGCAACAGGCTTTGCTAAATATGTTGCCTCCATCTTTCTTATAGCACTCCTTTAGGTACTGAAAGTCTGCAATAAGGTATCCCCAGAGCCTTCTCTTCTCCAGGCTGAACAGTCTGAACTCTCTGTCCTTCCTCATAAGAGAGGTGCTCCGTCACTCTGATCATCTTCATGGCCCTCCTCTGGACCCGTTCCAACAAGTCCATGTCTTTCCTGTGCTGAGGACTCCAGAGCTGGAGGCAGTACTTCAGGTGAGGTCTAACCAGAGCGGAGTAGAGGGTCAGAATCACCTCCCTCAACCTGGTGGCCACGCTTCTTTTGATGCAGGCCAGGATATGGTTGGCTTTCTGGGCTGTGACCGCACATTGCCGACGCATGTCCAGCTTTTCCTCCGCCAGTACTCCCAAGTCCTTCTTCACAGGGCTGCTTTCAATCCCTTCATCCCCCAGCCTTTATTGATAACCAGGAGGTTGCTCCCACCCAGGTGCAGCACATTGCACTTGTTTAACCTCCTGAGGTTCACACAGGCCCACCTCTCAAGCCTCTCAAGGTCAGTCTGGATGTCAACCTGTCCTTCAGGTATGTGAGCTGGACCACTCAGCTTGGTATCATCTGCAAACTAGCTGAGGGTGTACTGATCTGACTGACTGTGTCACTGATGAAAATATTGAACAGTACTGGTCCCAATACTGCAAGACTTTGGTGCACATATTGAAGAAAAATTGAGCCACATTACCTTCTACCCTGTAAGTGTCCTTTGTTTATCAGTTGACAAATGTTGCAGGAAACTATATGCCAGCAGGATGGCAAAGAACAGAAGCATCAGTCTAGACAGTGCAAGAACTAGCCCTAAGGATTTCTCAGCAAGTCATCTCTTGCATGGGGAAGAAGGAACAGAGGAAAAACATCTGCAACGCAGGGAAAGATTCTGCATCTCTCCCTCATGAGTTACCAAGAAACAGTAGAAGATGAACGCCCAACAATTCAAAGGCAAGCAGGAGGATGGCATAAATAAAGGGATTAGAAGAAATTCATGGAGGAGAAGCAAATAAAGAATAACTTGCTAAATTATTATTGGCTAGTTAAGAGTGATAAAAAGTCTATCTTCTAACCAAAGCTAAATCAACACTGAGAAATTCAATACTGCCCCCTATAAAGGCAGCTGGGATGGGACCACATTTCCAACACCTGGCTTGTGAGGTGTGTGCAAAGCCTTGCAAATAAAAGTAGTATAAGAATTATAGCTTATTAGTGTCTGAACATTTCAAACTCTTGACAAGTCCTATACAGACAAAAATCTCACCAAATCTTCAAAGTGGAAAGTTTCCAAAAATGCTAGGAAATATTCCAGTTGGATAAATCAGTCTAATCTATCAGGCATCAGAAGTGTATTCATAAGGAAATACAGAAATACATTCATGAGAACACTATAGCTTACCTCTAAACAATCTTAATTAAAAAAAAGCATTAGGATTTTGATAAATAGAACATATATTGATTTTTTTTCATGAAGAGGGAGAATTCTACTATGAACACCTGAAATTCACACATTATTTTATGAATTAAAAGAAGGATTTTTTCTAATCAAAATGACAGTATACAAAATTTAAATTCCTTAATACCATATAACATTATATATAAACCACTTTGTTTTCAAATAGTATTGTCCTACAACCTATGCTCTTAATTTCTCCTGAAAAACAGAGATTCACTTATACATAAAACAATAGCAAAGCTCTCTGGGCTTATTTTAAAGCTCCTACTGAAATATGTCCTATAGTTAAAAAAGAATTAAAATCTTAAGTGTGAAATCTTCAGACTATAAGCTAAGAGAATTGTAAACTTTATCAGGTAAGTATTCTAATACAAATGTATTGCTTTGTCAGGATCTTGATCCATACTACATGAATTGACCAAGTCCAAATCTTGAGGCAATTATAAGCATCAGTCAGCATAAACCAGGCAAGGAAGAAAAATACAAGTTGCTCTGTTTTTAAAGTACAGTCTTTCATAGGAAATTGCACTTATGTAACAAAGTATAACAAAAAGGAGTCCTGAAAAAATCTCTCTCAGTCATCGTAAAAATGTATAAGAAGAGAGTCTGATTAGCATACAAGTACCTTGATGTTTTTTCATCTTGAGAGGATATTTTCATCAGATGTGGAGCTTATTTCATGTTCTTTGTGGATAATACTGCTCATTTTGTAAACACAGCGTTTGTAAATACTGCTTGTGTTAAGTCTTGTTACTTCTAGGCATCTTAAGACGCATATTACTCTGCTGCTAAAGAGCAATTAAACTCCTTTACACAGCATGTGAGCTTTAACAGCAACAATTCCCAAGCCACAACACTGCTCATAACAAAGGCATGTACAATGAAAGGCAGGAATGGAGGCTGGGAAAAGTATATTATATGGATATAATCAGTGTAAATGTTCCTGCTAGATAGAGAAGCAATGGAAAGTAAAAGATGCTGCCAAAACAAGAACTAAAGAAAGATCCTAGCATTGTCCTTTGAGAACACACAAACAGAAAACCTGCTTCCTTCCGTTTGATTCTTCCTATACTTGGTGAATCAGGGCTTTCTATTCCTTTTTGTGATAACCAACGTAAGCAAGATGTGTACGACTCCAACATTCACTTCTCTTACTAACTGAAACAATCCAATATGCCCCAAATTTGGCTCATTACTCAAAAAAACCCCCTATGCATGGCCTAAGTTCTACACCTTTTGAAAGGTATAGAAAAAAATCATGGAGATCAAAAGGGCTGGCTAGTAGGAGAAATAAAGGTTCTATGGTGTGAACTTGTATTACCTGCACATGCATTTATTTGTCTGCTGGTGCCTTAAAACTATTTTAAGCAATACCTCTGGGCAGTGTGTGAAAATACGGTACTCTGGGCAATATAATTCTGTACTTGAAAAAGCAACACCGAGTAAGAAAATTGTAAAATAAGCTATGAAACAAGTCAATGAACTAACAGGCACAGAAAAACAAAAAACAGTGATCCAGCTGGTGACAGGAGAGTGAACAAACTGCATTATCTACTCTGGTGATGGTGATTTGAAGACAGAAAGACGTCTGTATATGAAGTGCTGAGAACAAGCTGGCAAATATGGGTAGCATGGAGATAGAAAAGTCCTTTCATTCAAATATCTATAAAGAATTATTTTTGCTGTGTTCTGAAACTAAGCAGCAAAAGTAAAAGATTTCTAAGGTAGAGTAAAATTTCTTCCTTTCCTGACAGCAAGGACAGGCCATAATCACGACTGGCTAAAATCCCATGGAAACTGACTTAGTGTTCTTCTTTCAAAATAAACATAGGAAACAATTTTCTTTTTCTGAAGAGAAAATTAAAACAGGAACCTTCAGCAAAAACAAGTCATAGGAAGGACTGGAGCAACAGCACAGATTTAATTCTGCAGCCCCTGTTCCACTGTTCTATTGTAATACAAATGTAGACAGATATTTTTAATACTGCTATACAACTCCACAAAAGACATTCCAGGAAAACATGAAGAAAGTTTCAAGAAAGTCGATCAGTGAAATTCTCAGCAATGGAAAAGTGCCCTGTGGATAGCATGCTGACAATTAATAGCTAAAAAAAAATAATTCTACTGATAGTCACCATGTATTATTGTTTTCATTACTGTCTGAAGTGTTTTCAGCTATGCTCACAAATTAATGAACTTCAAGTTACCATATTTAATTTTTAAGTAGATCCAGGTTTCTTCATACTCTGTTTTATAGTAAGTAGAAATAAGAAAAGAAATCTGGAAAAAAAAATGCTGACAAAATCTTCTAATGAGGAGACTATGAAAATTAATAAATATCCAAAGTTGTGATGTCAATTACACAAACTGAAAGTCTTCTAAAATTAATTGCAAGTTAAAACATAACCGAAGATCCTTGAAAACTCACTAATGTGTTTTCACCAGTGGAGCTGTTCCAGAGTCTCATCCGATCATCAGTACCAATGGTCAACAGATGAAGTCCATCATTCGTGTAGCATAAACCATTAACTCTCCCATTGTGAGCAGTACTTGCTGTCAGAAAAAAGAGCTCGTTCAGATTTCAACAGAAGAATTACTATTTTATATATACATTTTTATTTCAATGTGTAATACTGCACGTGCGGTTTAAATGATAACGTGGTAAATTGATAATTTGATTTACAAAAGCACCTGGCTGGCAACTGGTCATCAGCGGTGTTCCTCAGGGCTCAATTCTAGGGCCAGTTCTGTTCAACTCCTGCCTCAAACTGGATGCAGGAGATGAATGCACCGTTAGCAAGTTTGCTGATGATACCAAACTGGGAGGTGCTGTTGACTCTCTTGAGGGACAAGAGGCCTTGCAGGGTATCTAGGTAGATTGAAGCACGGAGCAATCATCCATGACACGATATTTAAGAAGAACAAAAGCTGGATCCTGCACCTGGGATGCAATAACGCCAGGCCCAAGTATAAACTGGGAGAGAAGTGGTGGGAGAGCATCTCTGTATAGAGGGACCTGGGGGTGCTTGTGGGCAGCAGGCTCAACAGGAGTCACAGTGGGCCCTGGCAGCCAAGAGGGCAAACCACGTCCTGGAGTGCATCAAACACAGCATCACCAGCTGGTCAAAAGAGGTGATTATCCTGCTGTTTTTAGTGTTGGTGCAGCCTCACCTGCAGTGCTGTGTGCAGTTCTGGGCCCCACCATTTAAGAAGGATGCAAAGGTCCTTGAACGCATCCAGAGGAGGGCAACAAAGCTGGTGAAAGGGCTGCAAGGAACGTTCTGTGACAAGCAGCTAAGGACTCTGGGCTTATCTAGTTTGAAGAGAAGAAGGAGGCTGAGGGGTGACCTCATTGCTCTCTCCAGCTTCCTGAGGAGGGGAAGCGGAACGGGAGGTCCTGAGATTTTTCTCCAGGGTATCCAGTGATAGGATGTGTGGGAATGTGTCAAAGCTGCACCAGGCAAGGTTTAGACTGGACATGAGGAAGCACTTCTATACCAAGAAGTTGGTCACACCCTGGAACAGGCTTCCTAGAAAGGTGGTTGATGCCCCAAGCTTGTCATTGTTTAAGAGGCATTTGGACAATACCCTCAATAATATCCTTTAATATTATATATTATATACATATACAATATCATATATTATATATATGTATATATCTGATAATATCCTTTAACTTTTGTTCAGCCCAGAATTGGTCAGGCAGTTGGACTAGATGGTTGTTGTAGGTCCCTTCCAACTGAATATTCCATTCCATTCCATTCCTTTCCATCCTATCCTATCCTATCCTATCCTATCCTATCCTATCCTATCCTATCCTATCCTATCCTATCCTATCCTATCCTATCCTATCCTATCCTATCCTATCCTATCCTATCCTATCCTATCCTATCCTATCCTATCCTATCCTATCCTATCCTATCCTATCCTATCCTATCCTATCCTATCCTATCCTATCCTATCCTATCCTATCCTATCCTATCCTATCCTATCCTATCCTATCCTATCCTATCCCATCCCATCCCATCCCAATTCTATTCTATCCTATTCTAATTCCATTCTATCCTAATCCTGTAGTGTTATAGAGTACTATAAATCAATTCCATTGAGTTCTTCCTGCACATTCTTAAGTATGTTAAAGTTGATAAAACCTGACTCAATGCTACCACGGCAAACCTAACTATGGTGCCCATAAATTAACTCACTGAACATTGGATAAGCTATCTGTGCATTATACTGCAGTACACAATTTACGTGTACCTCTTAGGTAAAAAGTTTTACATTTTTCAAAGATTTTATAAAAAAAAAAATTGTTATCTGCTTTGGGTTTAATTTGGCTGTATTTCAATATATTTAATATCCTAGTCTACTTGATTGCCATTATATTATCAAAAAATCGTCTTAAACCTGTCAGACAGAAATATCCTGAAAGGAAAGTTGTGTTTGAACAAGACAACTTGTCATTCAAAGGAATGTGTAAAATGGCACTGATTATCTTCGGAGTTGCATAGAATTTAATTTTTTGGAAAACAAAATTTGTTCAAATTTTTCTTTTTTTCATATGTTTTAGATTTCTTAAGAGCATTTTCATCTCAGTAATTTCTTGAATTTCACTGAAATTTACAGTTGTCAAAACCAAACATCTATATTACCACACTATAATTTACATGGTAGAGAGCATGGTTATTAATACAGATACTTACTGCTACTTCACATCCTCTAACTGCAAAATTTGGAAAATTAGCTTGACTTTACAAAAAATTGTGTGTATTTTTCTACATGCAATTTAAGTTGCACATAACAAATCACACTGACTTGTAGCTATAATCACTATGATTTATGCTACACAAATCCCTTTTTTCAGAGCCGTGATACACAGTTTCTGCATTGTGATTCAATTCCAAATACTATTTATTTTTACCACAGAGTAGTGACCACTCAAGTTCTTTTTTTGGCCTGCCAAAATCAAATATCTTTTGTCCCGAATTGACGAAAATTCACGAAGTACAATTTAAAGTTCTGAAGCCTTCCTTTAACTTAGTTTCTTTTTTTTCTTGGGTACAGAAATGTGACCTGAAGATACATAAAAATGTTAATGTTGTAGCTAATAACGACTGATACAAGGCACTATTAATGCATTTCACTGTACTTTAATAAAAGTGTAATTTATCTTCCTGTAAAATTAAATATAATCATAAATTTATACTCTGTTGTATATTTCATGCAATATAAAATGTATATAATTGATTTTACAGCACCACATATAAGAAAATATTCTGGAGGCTTTTATTGGAAGCAAGACTAATTTAAGCTGAAAAAGGAATGCGTTTTTGTGGGTTTTGTTTGTACTGTCTTTGTTTTTAAAGGAGGGTAATTATGGGAACAGCTTACGAAGTATGAAGTGATTGTTGTTTATATGAAACCTAATCTACAGCAGGAATCAATTCTTCTGCTCATAAAACAGATGGCAAAATTTCCCATTTAAGGGGGAAAAACGTTTAGAACAGATACAATATGGTTGCCAAGGAGATCTCTCTAAACAAGATCCCCAACCACAAACACTGTCTCTATAACAGAAGTAACTGAATAAAATCCAATGGCCTGCGTTATGCAGTAGGTAATGACTGGATTATCACTATTCTCCATGCTGGTCTTAGTATTCAACACATTTATGAAATATAAGAATGCTTCTAGTTACATATGGATTACCACCAGTTATATTCTATATTACCTGCCTCAGAAGATGATTTTGATTTTTCTCCGTTATGCTGATCAAGTGTACTCAGACATCCAGATGCTCTTCTCACATCCCATAATTTTACTCTACTGTCAGCACTAAGAAAAGCAGATTTGCACATATTACGGAAATTGTGTACAACCTGGTTCAACGACTGTCTTTAGCCAACCCACCTGGCACTCACCCTGGCCCAGCAACTACTCTGAACAGCTCACCATGCAGTCACATTCAAGCCAATAAAATGTCATGAAAAGATTTTTACAAAAGACTTCAGATATTCATGTACATGTCTTAATAAATATAGCTGGTACACCACGGGAGTCTTTGTGTACAACACAATACGCTTGCCTCTTTGTCTACAACATAAGAAAGACCCTTGCAGACATACACAGGCTAGGAATAAATTTGCTAATTCTGCTGTTGATCAAACTGTAGCTACAGACTCCAGCACTGTCTGTAACAGTCATCTGGGAACTCAGGCTCTTGCTATCACAAATCTATAGTACAACTTGTACAGAAACTGGCCACACAACACACATAGGCTAGAGAGGTCTACGCACTCTGTTGTCCTACAGTCCCACGGCAGAGAAATGCTGAGAGCTCACTTCTGTGGGAAGTCACTGGCTTTGTCTACATTACCAGGATGGCAGAAAGAGGCAGAGACCAAGCTGCTGTGATCTGTTCTGGTTCCCAGGTTGCATGCTCATGCTTTGCTCACAGTGTGTCTTTGCCAGCAACAAAAGCTATGGTAAATGTTGGTACCAGGGACTCGCTTTGACAGCAACATTGCAAGCAGTGCACTTTGTGTGGCACCTTGATGTGAGCACGCCGGTGTTATACTTCTGTGCGCACCACAAGACTCCCAGGCATAGACAGGAGGTAAATTCATAGGAAAGACCACTTCCTGTGCACTAAGTCACCAGTGTAGATGTATTTACTGAAACTACTCAGACAGTTCCCAGCAACTTAACTGCCCTTTTGGAGATTAGAAAACCCAAATCATAAATGATTTTTCATGACTGCTGAACAAAACCAACTGCATGTCTTTGATCTATGCTGGAAAATATATCCAATCAAACTGTTAGGTAAGCATGAAGTACTTTTTCCTGTATGTTCTCAAGTTAGATCAGTGCATTAATATTGGGAATATATATACTATATGCAAACCAACCGACCAGAGCAAACCCAACTATTATTCCTTACCTCTTTTGCATCTGACAAAGCTAAATAATAATATGGTCTTTTGTGCTTCCCTCCACTACAGTTTGATTCTGTTAACTTCCAAGTAGTATTCCAACTGAATATGCTGACATATTCAGTTGGACAACTGTCAGCATATTCCAAATGAATATGCTGACAACACATTACTTTGCTTCAAACAAATACTCTAATACCGTGAATAGAGATACCACTGAGGTCTGAGCTGACTGTAAAGTGAGGAACAAACTGCAAGTAGTTCAATAAAATAGTCTCAATAAAGAGAAAGAGATTCCTTATTACAAATGCCTACAGTCGTCCATTTTTGATGATGCAGTTTCTATTGGCTAATCTTTTCTAGCCAGTTCTGATGAACAAGAAAGAGATTATAATCTTCTCTAGTGCCCAAAATCTAAGTGTGTGAGAAAGATCCAGAGACCACGTCTCTTTTCCAACCAATCCAATCTCCTGCCAAAACTATGGAACAGTCAAGCACCACATAGAAAAATTTGAAATAACGTGTTTCACATGCAAGCCAAATAAACCCCCAAAATGAATTTTCCTTCCCCTGAAGTGATCACAAGCAAACATACAGTTGCCTTGGAAAACAGTCACATTTCCTGATACTCAAGATTAGTCCAGATTCTCTTTTTAGCAGTACCAGTCAGTCTCTTCTCATTACATCTTCATTATCTCACTGTTACCAATTCTTGCCCATATTTTTCTTATAAGATGGCAAAAATTAGTTATGTTATTAGGAACTAGTAGTCCAACTATAATCCTGAATTAAGTAACGGAGCCATAAGAAACATGTTTAACATGCAATTATATGCAACATGACAACATAGGTGGGTGCAGATTATAGTTATATGACTGAAGCAAAGTGTTTTGGGAGGTGTCAAGAAGTCAGTATTAATAAGCAAGATTTGCTACTATTTCTGTGATGGCAAAACAAGGAAACAACATTTCATTTGCTAAAACAAACAAACAGATCACACTATTAGAAAATTTCCCAACTATATTAAGCCTTTCAGAAGCTTGGCATCAGAAGCCAAGCATATGCAATTCTGATATCAACTTATTCAAAATTCACTCTCAACTTACAAAACGACTGTTCTTCTCTGCAATTCAAAAGCAAAAAACATGCCAAGCATGAAACTGAGAAATGTCACATTATAATCAAAAGTTAACATATACAATAGCTATACGAAAACTAAGACGATCCTTTAGACTCAAAATGGCTGCAATGGAAAAAAAAAACAGGCCTGGGAATATCAACATACAATCCATACTCACTGAATTACTGCGGCTTGGAAAGTTATTACCTGTCAGCTAAGCTACCTGATTTATGCTCTTTGACATAATTCAGCATGATTAACCAGGACAGTATTTTGAGCTAAACACGTTTTACTTCATTATAAAGCAGATTAGCAGTGCACACACTAATAAACAGTAAGAAGTACCTCTTTAATGATCTATCATTTTCCTGCAGCTTTAAATGCAATTATTATTTCAAAATTCTGTGCTATATTCCTATAAAACAAACATCACTTGGACAGTTCTTCATGCGTAGTTTTTCTAGACAAAATCTACAAAACTGGGAACAGGTTAAAGTAAATGATGAAGATTAACTTTAAAAGTGAATTCAAATTGTAAAAAACATGCATCATGAATATATAAAATTTTACCATCAGACATTCTTAGAGCATACAACAGTCCAGCAACATCCCTACCTTGCTGTTGCCAAAATATACTCATGACGTGGTGACCAAGACACTGACAGTACTTCTTGCCTGTGACCTAAAAAATATATGAAAAAGTGCAAAAAGTAATGGCTTATGGAACAATAAACCCATATGTTTACTGAATTAAGGAAATGCAAAGCATTAGATACCACTCTTCTATAGCAAGTAGTATATTGCCTATTATACAGATACTTCTAAACAAATTCAAGCAAGCAGCTCCACAGGATATTTTGTTTAAAATATTGAAGGTTTTTTTGCTTTGGTAGGGCTTTTTGGTCCTTTTTTTTTTCCTTCTTGTTTTTGCTCTCAGGTTGATTTGTGTTTTTTTTTTTAAAAAATACCCAGCACCTCATATTGAATTTCCATGAACACAAACCCAATGCCTACATTTAACCATGTAATAAATAGTAATCAGTATTGATTACCTTATGAAAATGCCCAAACATCTGTAAAAACTGTTCATTAATTACTATTTGTATTCTCCAATTCATCAGCACTAGACTAATACCCAGAAGAACCTCTTGCCACTGTGTAACTTTCACAACTGGCAATAAATAAGTCAGTCATGCTACTTACAAAGAATACATTGTATACAGTGTTTCTTTACAGGACTTGTTTTACTCAAAGTAGTTATTGTTTAACATTTATGTTTCAGACTAAAAAGTACCCTGCAGAATGTGAGAACAGGATCCAGACTTCAAGTCACAGAGCTGTACTTTGGGGCTTTTGGTACCAACTGTAACAAGAGAAACAAAGACATCTGAAAAAATCCCCTGCGTTTGAGAGAACAACAACAAAAAAATCTTAGCAATTACAAAGCTAGAAGAAAACAGTTCATGTAATCACAGCAATGCATTCTATTAATAGATTTACTTTTTTGGGCCAAGTAAATTTACCATATAACAAACAAAATTTAGAAACTGGAGGTAAACAGGACAGTACTTATGAAACTTAAAAATAGCCCCTCTTCAAATATTTTTTTCTAAACTTAGTTAAATTGTGTACATGTCTGCAATACACACACCCCTATTTACACCATTTACTATGTTTGGAGCTAATAGCCTTCAAATGCTAACTTTTGTAATGAAAGGTATTCCAATTATAGCTGTGAATTTTTATTTAGAAGGAGAACTGAAAGATGCATTATTTCAGAAGAATAAATTTGATATTCTTGTCAACATCATCTGACTAACTGATAACACTTTATTTTACCAATGAGCTTACATCTTATGAAACCTCAAATTATGTAAAAGTAAGACGGTGAGGGGAAAAAACCCTACTGAATATTACTTGCTTGTTACTATAAGCCCAAAATACATTTCTTAAAAACACATACGTACCTGCTATTAAACAATGCTTTGTAGCAACTGGAGACATGTGATGGCTATAGACTGTTCCCTCAAAGTGAAATACATCTGCAGGCTGATAATAAAAAGATTACATTAATCACAGCCCAAGGATGTTATCAGAATGTAAATCCTCATTATTAAGTATTTTTCACGTAACAGCTACAAATGAGACTATTATAAATATTACTATTTACACACTAACTCCTGGTTAAGAACCACATCACGCAAACATCACAAAGTAAGTCTGTTTCCAACACTAGAATAACTACGCCAGAGCTCAGAGATGACGCAAAAGAAAGACAAACAAAATTGGCTAATGTGAAGCATGATCAGTAGTTATTAAAAAATAACACAAAAAATAAAAATCTAGCAAGAAAAAACAGCAAACTAGAAGGTTATAATATGGAGATAGAAGTCAACAGGAAAGAAGCACTTAGACTAAATTTAGAAGTCCCTTGTCATTCACAAACATCACATACTATCTTCAAGTCTTAAGAAAAAAAATATTCAAAATTATTAGGTCCTTTATGAATGTTAAAAATTAATGAAATATTATATTTGCTTTAATAGTCAGTACAACTACTTTAAGACACAACTCCTTTTGTTGTATCACTCTACACACATATATACATAGAACCCCTAAAAACTAAGTTATCTGTGTTTTCAAATGCACCATTTGGTGGCCGAACAGGTCAATCAATGACCTTCACATGCATACTGTGTCTTTTAAGTGATGCTCACAGAACTACCTGGAAAGTGAACTGAACTTTGCATTTATGTTAAGATTTAGTAACTGCAAACACAGTTTCACATCTCACAAAAAAGAAAGGAGGTCAAAATTAATTCTCTATTGTGTCTCTAGGATGATAGACCTCTTCTTTTTTTTAAAAATTCTTTCATTATGCATGAAACAACATTCAAATAGTGTCAGTGTAAATCTGTTAATACAGTCATACCGGAAACAGGATAAACTGCACCCATGAATTCATAGTTCAACAATTGCAAGTAGTTGTTGCAAGGATTGCTCAGTCAAAGCAACCTAAAATCCTAAAGAATCTGCCTACTTTAATAAAGCCAGTTACACCGGTTAGCATTTTCTTAATGGTTCCTCTCATTCTCCAGCAATTTTTAGATATTATTTCTACGGTGCTTACAACGGCAGGATTTTAGACTTAATGAGCCTGAATGCCAAAATCACCAGTTCTTAAAAGCAGTATTTAGGGCCTTGGTTACAAAAAATAATTAGCCTCTACACTACCATTACACTCAACAATCCCCAAGAATGAACTTCAGACCAGCCCTTGGTGGACAAGTTTACACAGCATAAATTCAACCAGCTGTATTCCTGTTCACAGCAAAGCAGAAAGGGATTGTCCGAAGTGTTCCAAGCCCTCGTGCAGTTCAGACATTCTGGTCTTCAAAAACAGACAGGTACACGACAAGATACACGTGAATGCTGGAACCACACCAGCCTGCTGCGGCACCCACAGTTCCAGCATTCAGCTGGTTTCCATTCTCTGGATGCTTGGTCCCGTTGAGCTCTGGGAGAACTGCGGACGCAGAATGAATAACATGTACATGAAGAAGCCTGCCAGATGTAGAAATTCTCTCTTACTTGTAAAGTATTTGTATCCCATATTTTCAAGGTTTTATCAAATGAGCTCGATGTAAACATGCCAGTGTCATGAGGATACCACTGTACTGTCTCCACACTGTATCTATGTACATCAGGGTGGCTCCTACAATCAGGAAGAAGATTCCAATCAGTTAGTCTTGATAATCACGTTACAACCACCTTGATATTCAATGACAAGTTGAAAACATAGTTAAAACATCTTTTAAAAATTTGTAATGAAGTTTTCAAGAAGAACTACTTGTTTCGGTCCCTCATTTTTCAACCAACCAATGTTAATTACTTTGAAGACCCCTCATTTCAAGAAACTACAGATCATATGCCTTTTCAAAATATGATACAGAATCATAGAATTCTGTATCATATTTTGAAAAGGCATATGATCTGTAGTTTCTTGAAAAATATGATATTTGTAGCATATCTTAAGTCAGTCTGAGGCATAAAAGGCACTGATGTCTTCCAAAATTTTTAAATTCTGGTGTTTAAAGATCTAATGTTTAATGTGAGGGCCTCACACTACAAAGCTTTTAAGCTTGTGGAATCCCACTGTCTGATAAATGGATCCACTGAAAAATACAATCACATATACAGTTCAAAAAATTCATTATTATTAACTAGTAATTCCACTCACACAGTTATTGGAAATTCATGAATACTGAAGTTACCAGCTAGCAGTGGACTGAGTTACTAAAAGTTAATTATTTTTGCATTCAGAAATTAAAGAGGAAGAATATGAATCCTTCAACTCAACTATGCATAGTAACAGAATGTAATATTATTAATAATACATTAACAGTGGTGGGAGACACCAGAGGTAATCTTGACAGCTCCAGCACATGATTCAACATTGTTCAGCAATAGCTAAAAGATCAGTGTGTTACCAAGTCTGGTCAGAAATCCAAAACATAGCACTATACAAGCTACTATGAAGAAAATTGTCTCCTGCCCAGCCAGACACAGTACATGTGAAAATAGTCCAAATGGCTCCATCTGCAGCTAGTGAAGGGCTCACAAGATTTCTTCATCTCTTATCTTTGCATTGTTCTCTCAAGTGTCCCGGTCTCCAAAGCGATAACTATTGCAGGAGTACCATTGTGTAAATGCAGATGCTCTGATCTGGCACTGCACCTAAGCTAATAAATCTTCCTGCTTACTTGGGTTGCCAGAAAGTGCAAAAGGTGTCTTTAAACAGAGCTAGCCTGAAGCCAGCTCTGACAATACTAAGCAAGTGGTATTGAGCAACTGTTGAGCTTAGTTTAACAACTCTTGCATTGCTTATCTCTGAGGCACATCCTAGAATCACCTGTTAGTTTGTCACGGTGCTAAAAATTAACAGATTTTGTGCACTTATTCTATGGGCGTTTCAAGCTAAAAATCTTCAGTACCTGCAGTGCCAGGAAATCAAGCCTGACTCAGCATGAACTTACTCTGCAGAGGCATTTGTATGCGCTGTGCAGAAAAATCTAAACTCATGGAACTAATTATGCTGGTACAATAAATACAAGTACTCAACAGCAGACTGTGTCCAGCACTGCACCAGAGCAATCAATTCTCCCATAATCCAGAGGGCTGAGGAATGAACTAAAAAGCTCTTGAGTAGCTCTGCAGGAATCACCTTTGATCTGGCTAGGCCTAGTAGTGGCCACGTGCCATTCCGCCTGGCTTCACGTCTCAGGGCTCTGTGTTATAATGCAGAATTTTCCCCCATTACCCTGAATACCCCAACCTTTTCTATCAAAGAAAAACACAGAATTAATTCTATGGATGGTAAGGTCACGGCCAGAGAGGCAACTTCCTAGACAGGTTTTGGGTAGCAGAGCTTATGCACAAGCATCAGCTATATATTACTGGAAGCAGGTACTGTTCGGTTACTCTCAAATGCCACAGGACAGCATGGATCAAATGAACGCGTGTAAAGCTCTGGATGCTGACTCCAAGTGGAACAAGGCATGTTCTTGTTTTTTGCAACAGTGGTCCTATATTCTAGATGAGAAACACCATGTAAATCATAGCCTACCATCAGGAATGATCTCCTCTGATGTTCTAAACTACTGGCCCCACAGCAAGCCCCGTTCAGAGCCTATTCAAAAGTAGCTTCACAGGGTCTTTACTGGGAGCTTACTCTTCAAGGACCTTTGAGACCAGAGTTGCATTGTGCCCTGCAAATTTGAAATACAGGCAAACTTTTGCAAAACATTATCAAATGCTTCAAAAACACAAGCCACATAGTCATACGGGAATCGTTTCTCACTAGCAATTAAAAATTCATTTATAATGTCAGGAACTCTGCATGAATAATATTCTGGTACCTGAATCTATACATGTAGTTAATTTGCTACAATAAGTATTTAAAACATACTAGGAAGACACATAAATACTGGAAACAAATAATAGAGGCAAAAAACCTAAGATGGTTACTTCAAGCAGTAATAATGATAGGCCTATAGAACATTGTATGACACAAAATCAGATTTTACTAGTATGATTTATGCCTTTACTCAACTGATAACTACTAAAAGATTCAACTATGCAAATTAACACCTACTCAAGAAACAGACTACTAACGAACTACGGTGCTCTGCACTTGGCTGGGATAGAATTCATTTTCTTACTAGCAGCTGGTGTAGCACTGTGTTTTGGATTTAGGATTAAAATAATATTGATAACACAATAATATTTTAAGTTCTTGCTAAGCAGTCAAGGACTTTTTCAGCTTCCCATAGAAGCTGAGAGGGAGCATAGACAGGAAACGTGACCCAAGCTGGCAACAGGAATATTCATGTTCAGTGTATTAATGGGGGTTGGCTGCAGGGGCAAGGATTGTACCTGGGCATCAGTCAGTGGGTGGTGAGCAATTGCATTATACATCATTCATTTTGTATATTCTTTTATTACTGTTACCATCATTGTTATTTTCTTTTCTGTTGCTGTCCTATTAAACTGTCTTTTTTTTTTTCCCGATTCTCCTCCCCATCCCATCAGGTACGGGGGCAGGTGTGAGCAAGCGGCCGTATGGTGTTTCGTTGCCAGTTGGGGTTAAACCCACAGTTTAACAGTCCTTTTTGGCACCCGATGTGGGGCTTGAAGGGTTGAGGCAACAATAGATTTCACCAGAGCATGTTAAAACAATTTGTTATAAGCATTCATTATATTAGTCCAACAGTCGCTGATCACAACGTTATTTGTTCACATGGTTGTGTTACGCAAATCCTTGTTTGCAGTATATACTCCCTGTGCCTGCGCTTCTTATCACCGCTGGGAGATGGTTGTTCTCCTGTACTGGGTAAAATTGGCTTATGGTATGATAACATCACTGTTAATCAGACTAATGTAGTATTTGTATTCGGCATTGCTGCCATCTCCGTACCTCGTGCACCATCTCTTGCAAATTATTAATAATCACACTCTACTTTTTCTCCTTGGAGAACCAATCCATGGAGAGACGGGGTAGGATATTCTTCCCCACTCTTTCACCTTCCCTTTCTCCTTCAGATTAGTTACAACAGCTCTTGAGAATTGTTACTATCTTTTTAATGTTCAAGCCAGCATGCGTTTACTGCTACATCTCCTGAATGTGTTTCAGATCTTGTTTAGGGTTAAGCAATTATTTAAGAATACTGCCCAGCGATCTGCCCCAAGGCTGGATACTCATGGGTGGCATGGCACGTGGAAGAATATGGGCACATATCTAGAGAACTTCTCACCTCCAGTGGTCTGCAACTTCATACCCAAACAACTACAGGACCCTGATGAAGTGATAACATTTGAAAGAAAAATGCTGTAGCTACCCCAGAGAGGCACAACTTACCATACTGTGATGGGCCCTGGCCAGTATCTACCAAACACTGGTTGATATTATGCAGTACTCTCAGTGAGAAGAGAGGAAAACAGACCAACAGGAACTGTGGCTACTCCAACCACTGCAACAGGCACTGTGGCTGAACCAAAGAACAAGCCTGTGCTGGTATCAGAAGAATACAGCATAAGAAATCTTGGAAGCAGAAGTCAGCAAGTTTAGTAAGGGTTGAAGAAGCTATTCCTAAGAGGAAGCAGAAGTAAGGAGTATACTGCCATGAGGCAGACTAAATTGGAGAAGGGGCATCACAAGAACAAGAGAGGAAGAGGAAGAATCTCTTGCCTCTCCCCAAGGAAGACTTTGGTGGGAGGGCTCCTCCTCTTCCTCAGAGGAAGAACTCATAAATGAGATGGTAACTATCTGATCTCTATCCATGAGTGAGGGTAAGACATGTGAAAGGATTTCAGCTGTCATCCAGGCAAGCACATTGTCACCTGGCTGCTCCAAAGCTGGGATAACAGGGCCAGCAACTTGGAATTAGAAGGTAGGGAAGGCAGGCAGCTGGGATGTCTGTCTAGGGAAGGGGCCATTGACAAAGCAATAGGGAAAGGGGCATAAGTCCTCAGCCTCTGGAGGTGACTTCTGTCAGGTGTGAAGAAAAGCTATCCCTTCAAGGAGATACTATATGTCACCCAAGAAAGTGGACCACCATGAAGAAAGGTATCCAGGTAACTGGGAGGTCCAGCAATTCAAAGTTCCTACTCCCCACCTGTATGGACCAGTATCTCAGCTATTAAAAGACCCTCTGCCCAAGAGAGAGGATATCGAGATGACACACCATGAGCTACCCTGTGGTTTCACTTGTGTGACCACAGACAGAACATGAGAAAGTGGAATGGAAAACCTACCTTGAGGCTTTTGGCATAACTGCATTGGAGATGGAGAAAATTACACAGCTGTCTACCTTGTTCAGTCTCTCAAAGGACCTTTCTGTTGTGGGGTTGCTGAGGGTTGAAGAACAACGGGTGCCGATCACTAGCACAACAGTGCACCAGCAGCAGTATCACACCAACCGAGACTCCTTGTTTCTCCTCCATAAACTGGTTCATCAACTGGAGACCCAAGGAGGGATCAGCAGGACTCACTCACACTTTAACAGTCCCATTGTCCAGTGCAAAAAGATAATGGAAAGTGAGACTAACAGTAGACTACCATGGCCCGAATGAAGTCATGACACAGCGCTGCTGTGCTGGACATGCTAGAACTTCATATGAAGTAAGAACTGGAGTCAAAGGCAGTCAAGTGGTACGCAACAACTGATGTTGTTAATGCATTTTTCTCAATCCTTCCGGTGGCAGAGTGCAGATTACAGTCTGCTTTCACTTGGAGGGGCGTCCAGCACACTTGGAATCGACTGTCGTAGAGGTGGAAACACAGCATCACTATTTGCCATGGACTGATCCAGACTGCACTGGAAAAGGGTGAAGCTCCGGAATACCTGCAATACTTTAGCAACCTCATTGTTTGAGCCAATACAGCAGACTAAGTTTGGAGAAAGGGAGGAAAATAATTCAAATCCTTCTGAAAGCTGGTTTTGCCATAAAACAAAGTAAGGTCAAGGGATCTGCGCAGGAGTTTTTGGGAATAAAATGGCAAGATGGACACCATTAGATCCCAATGGATGTGATCAACAAACTAGCAGCTATTTCTCCACCAACTAGCAAAAAGAAAACATGAACTTTCTTAGGCATTATGGGCTTTTTGAGAATGCCCAGGCTGATTGTAAGCCCCCTCTCTCAAGTGACCGGGAAGAACGATTTTAGATGGGGCCATGAGCAACGACAAGCCTTTGAACAAATCAAATAAGAAACTGTTCATGTAGTAGCCCCTGGGCCATGTTCAGGCAGAACAAGATGATAAAAATGTGCTCTACACCACAGCTGGGGAGAATGGCCCGACCTGGAGCCTCTGGCCAAATACACCAGGGGAGATTTCAGGTCAATCCCTGGGGCTTTGGAGTAGGTGATACAAAGCATTCAAAGCCTGTTATACTCCAACTGAAAAAGAGGTACTGGCAGCATATGAAGGGGTTTGAGCTGCTTTGGAAGTGGTTGGTACTGAAGCACAGCTACTATTGGCATCCCAACTGCTGGTGCTGTGCTGGATGTTCAAAGGGAGGGTCCTGGCTACAAATTGTGCAAGGGATGCTACGTAGAGTGAGTCACACTGATCACACAATAGGTTCAAATAGAAAACCCCAGTCACCCAGGTATTTTGGAAGTGATCATGCGCCAGCCAGAAGGTAAATATTTTGGAATATCACCAGAGGAGAAGGTGACTCATGCTGAAGAGGCCCCATTGTGTAATAAGTTGCCAGAAAATGAGAGACAATGTCCTGCTCACTGATGGGTCCTGTCCCACTGTAGGAAAACACTGAAAATGGAAAGCTGCTACATAGAGTACCATATGACAAGAGACTGATGAAGGACAAGGTGAATCGAGCCAGTTTGCAGAGGTGAAAGCCATCCAGCTGGCTTTACACACTGCTGGTCAAGAAAAGTGGCCAGTGCTTTATCTCTATGCTGACTCATGGATGGTGTCAAATCTCCTGTGGAGTAGTTACAGCAACAGAAGCAGAGCAACTGGCAGCGCAGGGACAAACCAATCTGGGCTGTCCCATTGTGGCAAGACATTGCTGCCCAGATAGAGAATCTGGTTATGAAAGTAAAACATGCAGATGCCCATGCACCCAAAAGCCAGACCATTGAGTAACATCAAAACAACCAAAACAATCCAAAAGCCTGGATCAGGCTGCTAAGATTGAAGTAGTTCAGGTGGATCTGCACTGGCAACATAGAGATGAACTATTTACATTTTGATGGGCCTATGACACCTCAGGTCATCAAGGAAGAGATGCAACATCTATGTGGGCTTGTGACTGAGGGTTGGATTTGACTGTGGACACTATTGCACAGGTTATCCATGAATGTGAGACGTGTACCGCAATCATGCAAGCCAAGCAGTTAAAGCTTCTGTGGTATGGAGGACGGTGGCTGAAATATAAATATGGGGAGGCCTGGCAGATTGAATATATTATGCTCCCATTAACCCACCAAGGCAAGTGCCATGTGCTCACAATAGGGGAAGCAGCCACTGGATGGCTGTAAACACACCCTGTGCCCCATACCACTGGCCGGAATGCTATCCTGGGCCTTAAAAAGCAAGTCTCATGGTGGCATGGCACCCCAGAGAGAACCGAGTCGGACAACAGGATTAATTTCTGAAACAGCCTCATAGACACCTAGGCCAAAGAGTATCCCCTCTCATGCACCAGCCTCATGGAAAATTGAATGACACAATGCACTGTAAAAGACTACATTGAGAGCAACAGCTGGTGGGACCTTTAAATACTGGGATACACATTTAGCAAAGGCTGCCTGCTTAGTTAATAGCAGAGGATCTATCACTCAACCTGGCCCTGCCCAATCAAAACTTCCACATACTGTAGACAGGGATAAAGTCCCCATGTTGCACATGAAGAACATGTTAGGAAAGACAGCCTGGGTTATTCCTGCCTCAGGCAAAAGCAAACTCATCCGCAGGATTGCCTTTGCTCAAGGACCTGGGTGCACTTGCTAGGTGATGCAAAAGGATGGAGAATTCCAATGTATACCTCAAGGGGGTTTGAGTTTGGGTGAGAACAGTCAATTAACTAAATTGTATTACATCAATTGCTGTATAAGCCTGTCACTGTATGTCATCACTACCAGTTGCATGCTATAGCTATATATTCTTACTACAGTAAGAATCACCCAGGCTAACGAAGAATGAATTTGATGAAGCCGAGTGAAGTGCAGTGGTGATGGAACCAGAGCTGACTGCAGCACACAACAACCCAACACGACACACCACTCACCTGCAGCGCCCCCCATCACCCGCCGGCTGCACCGCACCAAAGCCCGACCCTGCTCTGCAGACTGAGAGGGCTCCACACCATCTCTCCTGCCTTGAAAGGCTGTTATGGCAAATGGAGCCCAAAGGCCTGGGATCAATCAACAGGCATTTTTAGGGAGATGGCCCATAGACTAAGGGAATTATATCTGTGTGTATATATATAAAGACAGGATATGTCGGACCTGAGCATGATGGAGATGATATAGAATAATGGGTGGATACTGTCCTGATTTTGGCTGGGATAGAGCTGTGTTTTGGACTTAGGACAAGAACAATGTTGCTAATGCACTAATGTTGTTAGTTGTTGCTAAGCTGTCAAAGACTGTTTCAGGTTTCCACAGAAGCTGAGAGGAAGCATAGACAGGACAGATGACCCAAGCTGGCCAAAGGAATATTCCATACCATAGACGTCATGCTCAGCATATAAATGGCAGTTGGCTGGGGGGCTGGGATCAGGGGTCACTGCTCGGGGACAGGCTGGGCATCAATCTACAATGCTACACTGTACCTCACTAGTTTTGTATATTCTTTTATTATTATTATTATTATAATTTTCCTTTGTTAGCCTATTAAACTGTTTTTATCTCAAGAGTTCTCTACATTTTTTCCCCCCCAATTTTCCTCCCCATCCCACCAGGGGAGGGTGGAGGAATGAGCTGTCTGGTGTTTAACTACCAGCTGGAGTTAAACCACAAAATACGCTCATAAACAGAATTTTCAAGTATGGAATACTTCTATTGACCTAAGTGAAGTTAATGATGGCATGATTTTAGCTCAGGTTTGCCAGTTTTTATACTGTGTCTTCTCAACATATATTTCTTCAGTTTCAGAACTGAATCTGTTTCAGAATTCATTTCAGTTTTGAGATTTGGGGGTGTATAGTCATTATTTGCTCTTAATTAAAATTTTAATTAATTTTTTTCAAGTCCCAGCAACACTTACCAAATGCAGCTTACTTGCAGTAGATTTTGTTCCTACCCATTTGTTTTGATGCATGTTCTATTACCCTTTTTTTTTCTTATGGTCCAAGACACCATTTAGGCCTTTTATTGTTACAAATCTTCTGTTCTTGTCGATCTTACTCGTGAAGCTCTGAGACCTCAAATAATTTGAAGACTGGGAGAAAATAAGGGGAAAATGTAGCTACTGATCTTTTACACAGTAGGATATATCTTATTATGAGTCTCAGATAAAGTTCTAACCTACTAGATAACCTTACTATCTGAACACAAGGAAAAACAAGCTTCTGCTAGAAGACTTAATGCCCACAACGTACAAATTTATACTGATTTCAGGGAAAGCCTGACAAATCAATAAAGGCTTTGAGTCTTTATATAGATTATGCTACAGAAGTACCCTGTTCTTCAGAAAAATATGTCCCATTTTTGTCAGTAACACATCTGTCTTCATTCAAACGTGTTCTTAAGAAGTCCTGTATTAATTAGTTCTGTACTTCATAAACACCTGATGAACTTAAAATAGCTATTTGTAAAACTGGGAGCAGAGAGAGGGGAAATAAAACCAACAACTGCAAATCTGTGTTAGGTGTTCTTTCCAATCAGACGAACAGGGTTATGCAAAGATAATTTTCCTTTTGCTCAAACACATATTTATTCAAAGACACATATATTGTATATCTTTGGGGAGGGGAAAGGAATATTTATACAACTGTCGCAAAATCACTTTTTCAGAGTTACTAGCATAGAGTCAGAAAATTTCAACATGAAACAATAAGAAAACTCACAGGTGAGGAACTGTAACCTGGAAGAGGGTTTGTTTGTTTGGGGTTTTTTTGCCTCTTCTTTTTTTTTTCCTAATGTTAAAACATGAGATTGGAGTACTAAGTCTGATTTTTTTGTGGGGTCAACAGCAACACAAGCCTCTCTACCTTCGTTTCCATATGAGTAAAATTAATATCCTCCATTTTAACTTTGAACTGCCAAAGATCTGCCCAAACAATACCAGAGAGTCATTGTACATATATCATAAGTGTATAAGAGGAAAAATAGTTAGCTCCTGTTACTCAGGAAATCACACAAATCTTCACAAAGTTTCTTGCTTTTTTTGCATGCCAGAAAACATCATGCTAGCCTTCAAAGACTTCTGGCACTATTTTCTACAGTATTTTTATCCTAGAAATAAGAACACACATTAATTTGTGAGTTTAATGTTAGTCACACAAGAGATATCACTATGCACTTCTATTAGAATTCTTGAGTACCTACCTTCCCACAGAACAAAGTGCTTTACATGTGTAACTTGGTTTTCTGCTCAAGTTTTCAAGGTCATATAGTACAATAACACCATCTGATCCACCGGATAACATGCTGAAAGTGTTAATAAATCACAAAAGTTACAACATGCATGATCTCAACATGCTCAATATAATCGACTGTTCAGCAAGTAAATAAATCCATAGTACCAAAACACGGGTTCTCATATACATTTTTAGCAACTAAAGTATATACTTACTATCTTCCCTCAACAGGCTCAATATCAAGGGTGTTGATACCACTTCCATGTATTCTTTCCACATCTCTATCTTTATTTAATTCCAAACTTAGAACCCTTAAAACAACAATAACAAAAAAAAAAGAAAAAAGAGAAAAAGAAAATCAGAGATCTGAACAAGAAGAACAACAGAATTGTAGAATGTTACTGTGTAGCCCCAAATAGCTCAAACCATAGTTCTGCACTTCTTCAATGCCTTTAACCTATCCTCATTATTGTTTGCAAAAGTAGACTTGCAGATGTGATACAGGGCTGGAAATAAGTCCTGTGAAATTGGCAGAAAAATATTTTATTTTTTATGTTGTTTGGACGGTAAGAGAGAAATAAATACGTAAAATGTACTCAAAGAAATAGCAAAACTGCATTTCAGGTCAGCGTATGAAACAAAACCCGGACTATAATTTGAAAAAACTGATCAAAAGAAACATCAAGGAGCATTTGTTGCAGTTGTTTGTACCATCTTTGCAAGCTTCACCCTACTTACTTGGAGCTACGGCCACCTAGTGGACAAATTCATTTAGTTGAACAAATTACAGTATTTCCTTTTAACAAACAATGTTTGTATGTTACATTTTCTGTAACATTATATAAAAACTATGCTATCCACATGATGAAGCTTCCGAGGCAAACTTTTCTGAGCTGTAATTACAGTAGCCTGTATCCTTAAATATGCTAGTATTACATAGTAAAGAAAAAAAAAAAAAAGATTCTGCTTCCTTAAGCCATACTACCTGATAAAAAATTAGCCTTATAAGATGATCAGAGCTCCTGACAGCACAATTTTGTAAAAAACACTGTAAATAAGTAGATAACTGAGAGGCTGTAAAGGCAGCGTACAGCTATTCAGCTGGTGCCTGAGTGGCAGAAACCTTGATGTGAGTTTAGGTTGTCACAGGCAGACCTTGTCTGTAGGCATGCTTCAAAAGCTGCAAGTCATTTAAGCTCTTTTAAAAGATATGAAGAATTCAAATAGAGTACGAATTTTTGACACATACAAGATACCCACTTTTGAGCTTCAGTATTCGTGAAGCAATAAATCCCCCTAAAGAAGTGTTTTATAATACACGACTTTAAAATGTAGTTATAAACACAATCTACTGAAGACTATAGATTACTTATTAAAGTCAAAATTAAAATGTTGAGGAAGGGAAATGTTAGGTAGAAAGTTGTCCACGTAACATAAATTCTGCCCGCTGTGCTTCTATTCTTAACACTGAATGCCACACAAGCACTGAGGCACAGAAAGGACATAATTGCATTGTGAAAACATTACACAGGAAGGAGATACCTGAGTTACCAAAAGTCTTTTCAGTTTTAAACAGACTCCTTTTACTATGGCACAGCACCAAAAGCCGCAAGTCACCAACACCAATCCATCCCACTGACGGATGCCTAGAGCTTGTCAGAGCATGTTACTCAGGAGCATCCAGGCGGGTCTTGAAAATCTCCAAAGAAGGGGACTCCACACCCTCCCTGGGCAGCCTGTTCCAGGGCTCTGTCACGCTCACCATAAAGAAGTTTTTCCTCATATTTGAGTGGAACCTCTTATGTTCCAACTTGTGCCCGTTGCCCCTCGTCCTCTCACTGGGAACCACTGAGAAGAGTTTGGCTCCCTCCTCCTTCAACCCACCCTTGAGATACTTAGAATCATATAATCATAGAATGGTTTGGGTTGGAAGGGACCTCAAAGATCATTGAGTTCCAACCCCCCTGCCATGGGCAGGGACACCTCCCACTAGAGCAGGTTGCTCAAAGCCTCATCCAGCCTTGAACACTTCCAGGGATGGGGCATCCACAACTTCCCTGGGCAACCTGTTCCTTGTAAGCATTAATAAGGTCTCCCCTCAGCCTTCTCTTCTCCAGACTAAAGAGTCCCAGCTCTCTCAGTCTGTCTTCATAAGGGAGATGCTCCAATCCTTGAATCATCTTCCTCTTCCCCAAGCAGAGCGCGGCCGCACGCAAATGGCTGAAGCCGCTCAGGCGGGGAGGGCAGCTCATTGCCCCGTGCCCGCTCAGCCTCCCAGCACGGCGTTACTCAGCCCACCCAGGCCGGCCCCGCCGGCTCCCCGCAGCACACAGAGGGGCACCGGCCGGGCTCTGGGCCGGAGCGGCAGCGAGGGCGGCGGCGGGCCTCACCTCAGGCCGGCCCCGCTGGGGGCGGGCGAGGGCCCCCCGGTAGGAGGAAGCCAGGCGCTGCCGCTGCGCCGGCCTGAGACGGCCGCTCCAGGCCTCTCCCCTCCCCGCCCCCGCCAGCTCCGCCCCAGCCCCGGTTCCCCTCCGGTCCCCGCTACCTGCGGGTGGACTCGGCCCGGCGCAGCCGCACTGGATCGTCGAGCCCGGCCTGTCGGGCCGAAATGAAGCCCAACA